AAGGGAGGAAGGGAGGAAGGGAGGAAGGAAGGAAGGAAGGAAGGAAGGAAGGAAGGAAGGAAGGAAGGAAGGAAGGAAGGAAGGAAAGGAAGGAAATGTAGATTTCCATTGTCCAAAGTGACAGTGGAAGGATGGGCCTTGAGTTTCTCAGGGAGGAGAAGCAGCCCCACGAAGGTTCCGGGCTTGGGTCCACTGTGCGTGGGACAGCTCCGAAAGAGGAAGGTCCCAGCGCTGCATCTAGTAGGGAGGCATCAGCTGCTCCCGGCTCATGAGGGAGGAGTGGTGGTAGCGATCCCGAGTGGCAAAGTCTGCGTTCTCCTGGGTGAGCTGAGTCATCTCCATGTCAACCTTAGCCAGGGATGGCGCCAAGATGATCTGCTCCTGAGGGGACCGCAAGCTCCTGCAGTGAGAGAGACACAGAGGATGGTGAGGAGGACAGAACAGAGACTGAACAGTAGAGGTGAGTCTCCTGGGCATAGAGAAATTATTTGTAAACACATATACATTTAAATGTTTAAAACATAATTGTTAAAAGGTATATGTACAAGAATATATGAACTCAAAGCACAAGAAATACAAAGTATCAAATAAAATAGAGAGAGAGAGTGTGTGTGATATTTACCCTCCCTAAGTAGAAAGTATAAAGTTGTACCTACCTGATAGGAAATAACTGACAAAGAGAGGTTTTGCCTTCCAAATGGTATCATGCTGGGGCTCTGTAGCTTTTCTTTGCTTTTTTGGTCAAAAATAATGGAATGGAGAGGCTGGAACATTGACAAGAGTGGAAAGAGAAAACTTCTCGTAGATGTATTGAAAATAAAGTTGAATAAGGAATGATTTCAAGAGCTAAGGCTCACACAGCAAGCAGCTAAGAGGGACTGCAAAGACTTTTGACACCAAGGTGGCCTCAAGTGAAGAACAAGTCCCATGTGGATCCCATTGTCACTGGAGTCTGCATATAGTTTTGGTTGGGGTAAACTGGGAAAGAAAAATGCTAGGGATGCACAGGGAAAGTGCTAAGAGGAAGAAAGGAGTGAGGAAAGCTCAGCTTGGCTGTCCGGGCAGCTGCTACAGAAGGCAGACCCAGTCACAGCTCTGTCCCTAATCAGCTAGGTGGCCTCCGGAAACCTCTTTACCTCCTTGTGTCTCTATTTGCTCATCTTCCCGGGTCTCTTCCAGTTCCTATAGTCTGTGTTAGGTCCTTAAGTCATAACTTAGACATGGATTTCCTCTTAAAATTTTTACTCTAAAAGAATCATCTACTTTATGAGTAGTAAGCTTCAATTGTTTGAATATGGAATATATTTGAGAGTTGCGAAAAGGTAGAAATCTAATGTTATAGATCTGTGGAACTTAAACAGAAAGTTTCAATGGACTGTGGCCAAAGGTCCTGCTATAGAAGTTCAGATCACATGACTATGTCATTACAGCCAGTTGTTGAGAACATATATAAATTACATAGGTCTCTGAGGGTTCTTGAGAACTGAATTAACTTCTATAAAGTCTGAATCTCCAAAAAGGTTAGGAGGTGACAAAAATGTCATACCAGTCAACATGTAAGTGTTTTTGCTAATGCTTTTGTTTTGATTTTTAGGTGAAACCATTACATTCTTCTGAGTCTGGAGAAATAAAATACTTCACTCTCTAGTCTAGAATGACTGTCAAATCCTCATTTGGACAGTTGCTAGTGCTTCAAGAAAGAAAGCCCTCTCAACGACAGGCTCAACTTCACAGAGTTCACAGGAATTGTAGGCATAACGGAGGAAGTAACCTAGCCAAATTCTTCTGCCAAAACACACTCTACATTCTTCTTCTTCTTCTTTGGTTTTGAAGAGCATTTTGGGGGTTATAGTTGGGGATTGGGAGGGGAACTTAAAACTACAAAGCAGAAACACAGCTACCAATCTCTATTTTTTTTTTTATTTTGTCTTATTTTGATTATTTGAGACAGTCTCATTCTATTGCCCAGGCTGGAGTGCAGTGGTTGATCTCAACTTACTGCAACCTCTGCCTCCCAGGTTCAAGCAATTCTCATGCCTCAGCCTTCCAAGTAGCTGGGATTACAGGTGTGCACCACCATTCAGTTTTAGTAGAGATGGTGTTTTGCCATGTTGCTGAGGCTGGTCTCAATCTCCTGGCCTAAGTGATCCACCTGCCTCAGCCTGCCAAAGTGCTGGGATTACAGGTATGAGCCAGTGCATCTGGCCAATCTCTATTTTAAAATAAATCACCATTTTTGGGTTTTTTTGTTCTTGTTTTTTTTTGGAGACAGGGTCTCACTCTATTGCTCAGACTGAAGTGCAATGTTGTGATCTCAGCTTACTGCACCGTCTGCCTCCCGGGTTCAAGCGATTCTCCCGCCTCAGCCTCCCCAGTACCTGGGACTATAGGCACCTGTCACCATGCCTGGTGCAGGGTTTTGCCATGTTGGCCAGGCTGGTCTTGAACTCCTGACCTCAGGTGATCTATCCGCCTCAGCCTCTCAAAGTCCTGGGGTTACATGTGTGAGCCACTGCACCCAGCCTTTGTTGGTCCTTTCACCCTCCTGAATAATCGTCCCAAAATATCACCCAGCAGCCATGGTGAGGCCAATAAGTTTGATGTTGATTTAGCTGAGGCCTCTGCCGCCCACCTCACAGCCTACAGAGCCTGGTTTTGTGTTATGAATGGTGTGGACTGATTCTACTCCAACCAAAGTACTGTCCTTTTCTAAGAATAATCTCCCCCTAGTACATTCTTCTTTCTACATAGCACTGCTGTGGCCTCCAAGGTGAAATCCTAGGAATTCAGAGTACAATATAAGGAACGGTGACCTTCCATGGCATTCTTAGGCTTTAAAACCAGAAATGACTAAAAATATTCCTGTAAATCAGGCAAGGCAAAATAGTCTCACCCACACACCACTTGCAGCTCCAGAATCTGTAGGCAGCTTTTACATGGAATCTATTTCCATTTAAACTCTACTCTTTCTCAGGACTGGGTTGTAGGCGAGAAGAGATCAGTGAAGATGTGTTGTGACCTGGCTCACCCAACCTTGTGCATCAGACAGGACAAGAGGCAGAGATCACTCACCCTCCCTACAGCTCCACAAGGGACATTGAGCCCAGATGGCCCAAGTAAGCAGATGACAGCGTGCTCCCCATGCACCCCAGCCTCCATCCCTGGGCCCTCTCCCTGTTGGTTTCTATAGCCCTTCTTGTCATCCCAAGCTCCAGCAGGAAGGCTTTATCTCTTGTGCCATCTTGAATAGATTGGCAATGTTCGTGAAGAGTTGTCTTCAAAAGGATTCTTGGGAATGGAG